GGGGGGGGGGGGGAGGGGGGTAGCCGGAAGTGGGAGCGGGTCGGGAAGGGGTCGGTTTGCGCTGAAGAAGGGTGTTATTGACATGGTGGGTGTCGCGTCGTCGGCCATCTTGGGCCGCGGCGGTCTCCCCGCCGCCGTCACCTCCACCTCCTCGTCCTCCTCCTCGTTTTCCTCTTCCTCCCACTGCCGCCGCCACCCTCTTCGTCGCATTCGCTCTGCTCCCCGTCGCGTCCGAAGGACATCCTTGTGTTCCCTTGTACCGAGTGACATTCGGGCTACGTGCCCAGCCTAACCTGCCCGGCGGACGCCCTGGGCCACCCTTTTCGACCAACCCCGGCAACGAGCTGCGAGGGTCCCGGGGGCTGCTTGTCGCCATGGCGACCGAACCCTCGTCCAACCCCCTCAACCAAACGCCGATTCCCTATCCCTCGGCACTTCGCTACCCCTTCCTCGTCGCGCGCGTCGTTCGCGCTGCCGTTCTCGTCGCCAAAGAGAAGTCTTTCGATATCCTCATGCGTCTCTCTTTGACGGTCTCTTCTTTTTCCCCTCGTGTGCTTTTTTGTCTCCTTTTTTTCACTCTTCCTTCACCATTTCTTCATCCTCTTTGTTAGATAGTTAAATGCTAATCTTTGTTTTTTGGAATTTGTATTTCTCCTTTTTTGTTTTTCATTTGTCTTCCATCATAATTCATTTTTCAGTAGATATTTTTTTCTTCAGTATCTTCGAATTATTGTTTCTTAAAAGTATAATAGTATAGTAGGCTCTTTATTGTTTTTTAAGTTATCATGTTGTGACTAAATAATATCTTTCTACTTATTTTTCTACAAGAAATTTCGCGTCCTCCCCTTGCTCTATTTTCTTTTTTTCTTATTATTTTTGTTACTTCTGCAACTTTTGTTACCTTTGGTACTTCTCAATTTTATATTTAACACAATATAATCTCTTATGATGTAAGTTCTTATTTTTAGTTTTTATATAATCATTACATTATTTGAGTAAATTTAATATGTTTACATTGAAATGAAAATTATAAAGATTTAAGTTTTTTTGTTTGTAAAATTACATTTTTATATTTTACATAATAAATATATGATATATGTATAATCTCATTCAAACGCATATTCCTCGAAATATTTAATAGTTTAAAAGAATATATTGTATATTTTTTATTTAATTATAAAATGTTTTACACGTACGAATTAAAAATCTTAGCTCTGTATCATTCTTTATATCACGAATTGTTGCAACTTTTTTTACTCAGCATCACTTCGATGAAAATCTGGCATCCAATATTGGTAGTCTATATAATTAATGGTTAACAACACTTCCCCATATTGATTAAATAAAAGAACACCAGCGTTTTATTCAAAATGCGAGTTGCGGTTTCGATGTTACGCGAATTTAATGGTCCACGCCGTAAAAAATGTCTGTCGGTATTTGGAATTGGTTAGTTGGTGGCGGCAGCGTTAATTTCGCTAATTATATTGAAAAGCCGATCTCGATGAAACTTCGCACGATCTTCCTTTTGTCGGGATACCCTTTATCAAACATTCTTGGTGGCATAAAGTTGCCCACCCTACAATCCCGCGGAATTGGCAGATATTAGGAAGGACTTCGTCGCGGCTTTTGTCTCGTTTGGCCACAAAGTTTCGTGAAGCACCACAATCCCGACCAATTAGCAACGATTTCCTAAAATCAAGTCGTAACCACGAACTAATTGGCACTTGACATTCAATTCCCTCACTGTCGTGAGAAACTCACGATTATCGATGATAAATGCTTCAATTAATTGTCTCTTAGTTAAAAGAACTCTCGGCTCTTTCGCGAGAAGGCTTTATTTTATATTCTAGTGTTTTATTGTATATATTCATTTTGTTTCTTTTTTAAATTATCTTAGAAATGAGACAGGCATTAAATATCAATAATAACTCAATCTTTTGAGTTAAATAACATTTTATTATTTTTAATTTATGTACTTCAAAATGTAAACATCTATTTTTCTAGTTGAATTGCTTATTTTCTAAGTAAATAATAACATATCAACGTATGCACTTATTAAATAATAAACTAGATAGTCAGATTTAACACATTTCTTGAGCTCAATTATGTAATTTAATTATTTTTAGAGTTGAATTAACGACATATTGAGTAGGAGTGGTGGCGACTTGTAGAAACGCTTAAAAACAATTTAAATTGGGTATAATTTAATATTATGGATTCAATAGTTTATATTATTTATGAATTTGCACTTATATCGAAGTATAAACATATGTAATTGTATCGAAAGCTTTATTTATACCGAAGTATCTCTCTTGGAAAAAGTCAATAAAAAGATCATTAATATAATAGTAGAGTACATTCAGAATTGTCTACGGGATAGGATTTTTTTAACGTTCTATATATGTATTCGCGTAAAAACAAATACTCGATATATTGGAAGCAAAGTATCGGCGCATTTCAATGGCGTCGAAGTAGCTTAAGAACCTCCTCGGGGTTCCGAGACGTGACGGAGCGTTGGAATAAACTGAACCCGGCTGGACCCGTGTTCGCCATGCCAGCTGCATCGCGGCAAAACAGAAGGTGTCTGTCATCGGGAACGACGATCCGTAGAAGACGGCATCGGAATGCAATTCTGTAAACGCGCAACGCGGCTCCATTCATGGGGTGTCGCCGCCCGCGGTTTTAAAATACGGGAACAAACGTGTGTAATTGTAGAACGATCGTCGAGCGATCGTAGAATGACAACAATTTGGTTTAATTAATGCCGCGGTGAAAGAGTCAAATTCGTGTCCACGTCGAATTCGTGCGCGGCGATAGATAGGACTGGAAGAGCGCGCACCGAGCGAGCGAGTATAAAAAAAAAAAAAAAAAGGAAGAATCACGGCCTTTATGTACGCGAATCAACTGTTTATTCAGTATATAGCGGAAACGAGAGAAAGAGGAGAAAGAGATGGAACGAGTACCGCGGGAGGGATCGCGGAGTAGCTGAGGCTGCGCGGGGGAGGAGGGAATGCAACGGCAAGCGCGAGTGATCGACGTGAAACGAGTTCATTCATGCTTGGATGTTGTAATCCTGAATGGACGTAGAATGGATCGAAACTGTGCGATTAGATTGGACTGTGTGTGCCGACTTGATACTTTTTTTTTTTTTTATTTTATTTTATTTGAAGAGTACGGTGATTTTTATATGAAAAGGTGACGCGCGCGTATTGAACTTCCTGCATGAAATTTGTCTCTTCGTATATTCAGTAGTTAAATATAATCTCGCACGAGACGTATAGGCTATTCTCGATCACTCAATGATCACGGAATGCGATTTTTGCCTTAGGTTTTTGCGAGATCGGAGAGAGGCCGCAATTAAAACGTCGAATTTAACATCCTTTTGCAAAAGATTAGAATTAATTTCTGCTTGACGAATTCAGCGCGTCGCTCGACGATCCGTGTTATAATTCAGGCTCGCAAGGTTAAAAGGCCGCCTCTCTATATCTCTCAAGGGTGCGATAACTTTCAGCGCCGACTGTATCGCTGGATGATGTATCCCCCGGGGGTTTTCTCCCCTTGGGTGTTGGGGTGTGTTTCGTTGCCTGGCAACGACACCCTCGAAGTCCGCGCTCTGATTGGCCCCGTCTCGCTTTTCCTGTCTTAGCCTCTCTTCTCACCCCGTCGCCAATCAGACCCCCTTGCCCGTGCGCTACCGTACCACCCGTTCCCTCTACCCCCGCCGATGGAAACCGCCGTCGTCGGAGCGAAGTGCACACACGGCCGCGTATATAGAGGAAAAAAAAAAGGGGGGAAAAAGGAAGCACACGCTGTAGCGCGTCTGCACAGAACAGAACGCTAGGAGGAATTAGGGGGTAGTCCGACGCAATGGTGCAATGTCAGTGTCTACTTTACGTTGTATACGTATGCGTACGTGATTAGGCTGCACACATGGTGAAGCGACGTAATATTATCTCGGATAAATAACGCATCTTTTATTCTCGTATATTGTTACACGAGAAGAATAAGCTATAGAGACAAAGTACGACGCGTGACGATACGTTTTAGAATCTGATTTTTTACGAGCGTTCTCATGTAGTAATGCACATCTTATATAACTATACGGTTTTTTTCTTTTTTTTTATTTCAATATGGAGCAAAAAGCCAGAGAGTGTATATCTCTAGATAATTCGGACGAAACTCGAAACCAGTTTCGCAAGGACGAAATACCAGAATCTTATTTGCCGTAGATTCATCCGTTGTAAATCCGATTACGAGTAAACCGCGCCGTTTCGTCGGCTCTCGATGTCATTGAGAGTCATTTCTATTTTTACGGCTCCGTAAATTGTACGAAAGGATTAAAGAGCGATTCCATTGGCTTCCTTTTCAATGCCTTCTTCAAGTAGCCGGCTTGTTGTCGAGACTACACAGCGCTACGAGAGGATTAAACCTTCCTATTGATCCCGTTCAATGGATTCGTGCCCTTTCACGTGCCAGCATTCGTAATGTTTTGACATCCTTTATGCTCGTCTCTTCGCCTCTCGTTTATTTCCTCAATGCCAGGAAATACTTCGTGCCTTTAGTTCAGTATTCGATAATAAAATTGATTTTTCTCGATGAAATATATACGAAAAAATGGTTTTCTGAGAAATTATTATTTCTTTTAAAAAATGTTGCTTTTATTTTGTCAGTAAGAACTCTTATAAATGTAGTAGGTTAATAATCGTCTTATTTAATAGAGAACATCCACGACGACGATGATGATGCTGCTGATGAAAATTTCTTCTTAAATTCGTCGCAATACTTTGACAAAGATTTACTGGAGAAAACTTTATCCAAAAGCAAGTAAGTGCGTTAAATATAGCATTTCAAACGTTCTATCTGTCCAGATTGAATAGTAAAAAATTGAATATTTATTTGTCACAGATCAAGGAAAGTGCCAAAAATATTTTATGGATCGCGAACTCACGGGCAACTTCAGCAGGTAGTTCGAGAATTTAAGAAGACCGCGTACAGATATAAGAGGTAAAACAACTTGCGAAATATTTGTTCTATCAAACGAATGTATAATAAATGGATCTTTCTAGAATGACTATATTGAGCAGCCGAAAAAAAACGTGTATTCAGGAAACCGATAAGAACAAAGACAAATTGTGTAATGAATTACTTGATCCTCGAAAGGTTTCTATAAACGTTATGTTATATGTATTCATAGAAGTAAAAAATTAAATAGTTATATATTATATATATATTAATAATTATATATAGGTATATAATGTAACGACATGATTTATATGTGTAGGGTGAAAAATGCAAATATTTTAACCGTGTAAAGAAAAAACCGACAATATTTAATGAAATGGACACGCCTTGGGATATTGAAGATTTGGTATTACACGGGGAAAAGACCCAGGCCTGCCCATATTTCGGTTCAAGAACTTTAATGACCAGCGCAGAAATCATCTTTTGTCCGTATAATTATATCCTGTATCCGGAAATTCGCGAGAGCGTAAGCAAAACTAAATCAGATAATTCTAAATAATATCAAAATGCTTCATCAATACAGACAGTTTAAATATTTCTTTATCTTTTAAATGCATACTCTTTTCTACAGTATTAAATATTTAACGAGACGTAATTAATAATTATATAATTAAAATACATAGATGCAAATCCATCTAAGAGGTAATATCGTAATTCTCGATGAAGCTCACAATATGGAGGATATTTGTCGAGAAGCTGCCACTGTGAATCTCAGAAGTGACAAACTCGAAAATGCCGTTAATGAATGCAAACATTTATTGGTCTTATTAAAAAATAAGATTCGCAAACTCGAAAATGGCGTTAATGAACATTTATTGGACTTATTAAAATATAAGAGTGATATTTACACTATTATACACAAATATCTCTCGGATCTCATAACATTCCTTAATAGCATTGAAGTCAAAGACAATGTGAGCATATATACTTATCAAATAATAAAAAATTAATTTTTGTTCTTATATTAATTTTGTATATCATTATGATATATTTAAATTTTCATCTCGTATCTTATCAATATATTATAAAATAGTTATCATTGTTATTTTTACTTGTCATAGTAAAATGTACATGCTTTAGGATCGTAACGAAATGGTTAGTACGCATTGGATTGGTAGCGTATTCCGAGAATTGCTCGATGTAAATAATGTGGGATGTCCCAGATTTCCTGATGTTCTTCGCGCCAGTATGATGGCTATAGAAGATTTCAAACAGAATTTGAAAGAAGATGATCCTAAAAAGATAAAGCCCACTATTTCTCAAGAAAGTAAAAGACTTCTTGAGTATCTCTGTTTTGCTATGCAAATGATTACATCAGATAAGGTTGATGATTATAGGATGTATATCATAGAAACGAACGAATTTATTGAAAAGGTATGGCTGAGTAATTCGTCTGTGTAATTATGATCTAATTGTATCGAATCTCATGTAACCATTTTTTATCAGGTAAACGAAGCAGATGACTGGATCTCATCGACATCCAGAAAGTTAACCAAAGTACGAACCATGACAATGAAATGCATGAATCCAGCTATAGTTTTTGCGCCTTTGGCTCATGAAGTTCGTTCTGTGATACTCGCGTCAGGTACTTTGACGCCGACTATATCGTTTCAAAGCGAACTTGGGACAAAATTCCCACATATAATCAATCCTGACCATATTATACCAAAGAATCAGTTATATATAAGATACATAGCACAAGGACCTAATAAAAAACCTTTAAAAGCTACGTACGCTCAGGTGAATACCTGGGATTTTCAGGTAAGGAGAAACGGATTGTTAATGCTTTTATTTTAGCTTTACATTAACGCTATATGTATGCGAGTGCAGTGAACAATTATCATTTTAACAGGACGAACTCGGTAATTTGGTTCTTCAAGTATGTGACGCGGTACCATATGGTGTACTATGTTTCTTTTCGTCCTACAAGGCAATGACCACTATACACAACAGATGGAGGAATAATGGCACGTGGGACAAACTCTCCGAATTGAAGACAATTTTTGTGGAGCCAAAATATGAAAGAGAGTTAAATCCAGTCATGAAAGAGTATCGTAGTGAAATTGAAAGATCGTCGTCTGAATCGTATCGAACAGCATGCGGAGCTATCTTCTTTGCAGTTTTTAGAGCAAAAGTAGCAGAAGGAATGGATTTCAGTGACAATGAGGCTCGTTGCGTATTATCAGTAAGGAATATTTTTAATATTAATTTTATCGATATGTATATATCACACGTATGTCCATATTATACATATAATATACACACAATATTTCTAATATTATATCTTTACGTCTATTAGATTGGCATACCGTATCTTCTACAAAGCAGTGATATAAGCATGAAAATGGATTATAATAACTTGAAATTCAAAGAATCTAAACAATTGCTATCTGGTAGCGAGTGGTATACCGTAAATGCATTTAGGGCGCTAAATCAGGCAATAGGTCGTTGTGTCAGACATAAAAATGATTGGGGTGCTGTACTTCTAGTAGATAAAAGGTATGTATAGATATAAATATCTAGAAATAGTCAAACTCTTAATTACATTACGATAATTTATATAGATTTGAGCAAGAACAGAACATCAACTATCTACCAAAATGGGTAAAAGCAAATGTATGTCTCAATTTTCAAAGTAAGCTATATGTATAATCTGTAGGTACTATAATAATTCACTTATGTTACAGATCAAATGTAACCAGACTTTCGATCTTGAATTAGAACTTCAAGATTTTGTAGTTTTGCAAGTTGCACGTGAAAGAGGAGAAAAAGAAGAATTGTTAGAAAATAATAAAGATTTTCTTTTAGAATAGAAATATATATAACGAGATCTAGCTGAATAAAGATATCTTTTTGATCAAAAATAATTGTCTAACAAATAATTATAATTATATACTCAAGTATTCTATTTACATGATTTTTTTAATGTTATTACATATTAGTTGTGTCTCGCTTCTCAATCATTCTTAATTGTTTTTTCTTCATTCTTTTTATTTTTGCAGTGTTCTTAATCTGAAAATGATGATACAACAAGAGTTTTAAAATATATTCAATAAATAAATGTCTGTCTTGTTATAAAAATAACATTAACATTATACTTACAACTTGAACAATTTCGCCCTTTTTTCTATTTTCCTCTGCCCTTTTTAAATTTTCTCTCCTTCGTTGCTTCTTAGCTTCCTTTTCTGCTTGCTTTTGTGCCTTAATTGCCCTTGACATCTCTTTAACGCGTTTCAGATCTTCTCTCAACTTTTGTTTCTTAGCAAAGGACTGTCGAATTCCACGTGTTTTAATTATAGAAGAAAATCTGCAAATGGACATTGCATCATTAATTTATATTTTTTTGTACTCATTTACAAAACGTTAGGAATAGTTAATTATTACTTGGTAGAAATTAAAAAAAATACATTAAATTTTTTAATATATTGATTGAAATTATATTATAATTATATATATTATGAATGGGATATTAGATAGTTCAATACTGAAGCTTTGTTGTTAAGCAAAGCTCCTTGGAAAAAAAAAAATTGAAGAAAACTAAAACTTTGAACAATAACTGAATTTTAAAATGAAGCTTCAACGTGGAGAGAGATTAGTATCAAAGGGGATTTAACAATTTCTTGCTAAAGATTGCAACTGTAATAAAATTAGGAAGAAATCGAAATCTAGCTAGATCATAATTTTTTTTCTCAAATGATAACACTTCAAGAAAACTATTGAAGAATTACGTTGTGAATAATTGTTGCTATTGAAATTGTAACTCACCTCTTTTTTTCTTCCTTCCATATCTTACCGGATTTTGGTTTACCTCGCGGAATATGTTGCCTTTCGCATTTCTCGGTACTAGGCAACATCTCTGGCGCAGTGATGCGATTTCCAACCCACTTGCAGCTTTTATAAAAAGGTACGTATGACGCACGCAATACGCTTATATCTTTCTAACCAACTTCTTCTTTGATTAATTGTTAATGGCTCGCGCCTCCAGACACCTCCAGATTGCTCCAGATATTGAATAGGAGGACGATACGGCTTCCTAACCTCTATATTCTAGAGCAGTGATGCTATTTCCAACCCGCTTACAGCCGTCGATCAGTGCGCCATTGGTCGGCAGTCTGGCGCAACTGGTAGCACACACAAGCTGTAAACTCTAATCTTTACTATCAGGTGGTATATGTACCATCATATAGTAATAATTCATTCGGAAGGTAATATTATACGCGTATATTACATATGGAGTATAGAGGGCTAATGGCAGCATGCTTTTCACTTCATTCATACAGATACATGTGTTGATGATTGAAGTCATTATTTCCTGTATGTAATTTTTAAAGGTTTGAACTACCAGAATTTTCATACAAAACAAATAACAAATTGACAGTTACAAAACTAAATACGTGTATTAAGAATAATGGAGACTTTAAAAGCATTGTCTGTATATTTAAGGCATAATCCCCGACTCGATATAAAAACTTCAGCGCTGGAGAAAGTGCTCCGTATGTAATTTTTATATATTTTTCTAAGTACCACGCGTTTATTCACTTTACAAAAGCCTCGACAGAACACTCAGAATGTACGCAGATATAACGACTACTGATGATGGCCGGGAACTCCTGTTGAAGCTACCAGATACGTTGATACAACTTGTTACTTTTGTACAAGATTCTTGCTCTGTCGTCAGTAAATGTGCTGCACAGATATTAGTAAATGTTACTGCAGATGAAGCAGGAGCTAATGCAATGTTGATTATTTCGGAGTCAAGTAATTCGACAGAGATCAAGTTTAGTAAGTCTGGTAAGTAAAATGTTAATGACATAGTAGTGCATCGATGGCAAATTCAATTAATTAACATCAATTGTATTTGTATTAAATTTTTGTTCCATCAGTCAAACTTTTGATAATCTGACGACATATTGACAATATAAGACAAGAAGAATTTGGTTATTTTATAAAAATAAAATATATAGTTACACAAATTGAGATTCTTTTCTATATATTACTAAATGGTGGCAAACAAAAATTGTAATAGATATTTTATATACTTTACTTTTGACAGATTTGACTATCCAGGAACCTAGTCAAAATTTAATAAAAGTTTGTCTAAGGTAATATATTATTAAAATATATTTGTGATAAGGCTCAATAAATTTAAAAATAATGAAAAAGAAAAAGAGCTACGAGCCAAAAAATTCGTTAAAATATATTATTTGTAAATAAAATTTGTCATATGGTTGAAATTACGTAGTTTAATTAGAAAATAGATAACATTTAAAATAGAAAAACGTTTCGACCTTTATTAGATCATTATTAATGTTACAATAATCGCAAGTTATTAACAAATGTTCGAAATTATTAAATTATAAAATTACAAAAACATAAAAAAAATATAGAAAAATAGAAAAAATATATATAAAAGTAGGTGTGCAATCTCACTCGCATAGTTGAAGATGTATTTATTTCGGACACCAGTAAGAATCCATAAAACAATGTAATTCGTCTAGTTATAAATGTAGTTTGTGAAAGCGTTTAATAATTGTTTCTTATAAAATTGTACCGATGTACGATTTATAAAATTGTCCGTTATTAGAACAATGCGATGAGAGCCAACATTCAAAGTTTAGAAATACAAAATGTTATTTTGAATTTCGAATGTTAACATCTCTTGGCTCTAACATGGGGTTAACATCATTGTAACATTGATAATAACCTAATAGAGATCGAAACGTTATCTATTTTCTAATTAAACAACATAATTTTAACAATATGACAAATTTTATTTAGCAACAATTGTATATTTTAACGAATTTTTTGACTCATAGCTCTTTTTCTTTTTCATTAATATAGTATTGTTTACTTATTGTTGTTTTATTTTATTTTTATCAAGTATTTCACATGTTATTTTTACAGGGCCATAATGGATAAATCTAATATTGTAGCAGATCTATGTTGTATGATACTTTCTAATATGACTAGACCGTTTCATCTAATAGACAGAATGATAACACTTATCGAACAAAGTGGTTATTCTTGGGATGAAATATTATCTGTATTTACTGCAAAACAATACAATACTGAAGGCAATAACTTACATTATCTTGGACCTGTCTTTTGTAATCTAAGTCGATCGCCACATATAAGAAGGTAAATTAATTATTTTTTTTTTCATTAAATTATATTGTAGATACCACGTGTTTTATCATAGGTATTTGATGGATCAACAGCGATGCGTTATTCAACGGATTTTCCCATTCACAGAATATTCTGACAGTCTTATTAGACGAGGTGGTATTGTTGGTACTTTAAAAAATTGCACTTTTGACACAGAAAATCACATGTGGTTGCTAAGCCCTAAAGTGGATTTATTATCATATCTGTTGTTACCACTTGCTGGTCCAGAAGAATTTGATGACGAAGATATGTCTAAATTGCCAATTAATTTGCAATATCTTCCTGAAACAAAAACTCGAGAGTCTGATCCAGATATAAGGCAAGTTATAGATTGACAGAGGAATGATACATGATTAATGCAAAAAGATAATAATGTTATTATTATGTTATTTCAGATTTATGCTTTTAGAAGCATTAAATCAACTCTGTGCAACAAAAGTGGCTAGAGAAATATTGAGAAAAACAAATACATATCTCATACTTAGGGAGCTTCATAAATGGGAAAAGGATAAGAAATGCTTATTGGCATGTGAAAATATCGTAGATATTTTGATAAAGTAAATACTTGCGATAATAAAATAAAATTCCACGTATAATCAATTGTAAATTTTTTTACTTAAAAGAAATTTGTATTTTTTATTACAGAACTGAAGAAGAAATCGGTTTGGATAACTTGAAGGAAGTAGAAGTTCCGTCTGAGTACACAGAGATGTTCCATAAAATGGATAAAGAGTTTATTAGCAATACATAGTGCAAAAATTTATATTATAAATACATATAATATTTTATAGGTATTGCACATACAGTGTATACATAATACTTATCTAATGAAGAAACGAACACAAAAATGGTAATTTTTATAATACATTCGATTCTTCGTATTTCTCATATTGCACTGCCCCATATTATCATTAATAATAAGCTATCAGGTCCAGCGTAGCAAACAAATATAACTTGATCTTTATCGCTTACAATAAACACTAATCTTTAAAATTATTATAAAATAATGTATATAAATAACTTTTTATTTACTGTTAATTTACGCGCTAAAATCTCTCTCAAGATGAAAACAGGTACAAATAAGTAGTTGTGTATTATTTATCAAGAAACGACTAACTGAATCACGATATGTTCGTGAATAATCCTTTTTCGATCATAGTGCGAATGGCAAGATGTTACACGAACACGTATATCATAATATTAAATATACAAGATTGTACCGTAGGAGATAACTTGGATACTTTCATCAAGGTAGATAGCCTAGTCCAGCTTCGAGACTAATCGAACTTCGTGTGCTCGATGCGTTACTGGCTCTTCTTGAGATACGATTGTTCTCGCCTGCAAAAACTGCGGCGATCTCTGCGCTTTTTTTTATGGAGAGCGCTTCGTGATGCGCTCCGGATCTCCCGTTACCGCGAGAGGAATATTTTTTGTCTCGTTCCGCACCACCAACGTAAACCAAACGGCCCTGAGTATCTCTGGCGCTGACCACGAGGACTTTCTCGCTACCGGATGATTGCTGGGATTTTCTTCCTGGACTGAAGAGATCGTAATCTAAGGCCAAGTTATCTGAACTACCGCAAGCCGGCGATAATCGATTCTGCAACGAAATTCGTAGACAAGTTTTAATATAAGTGCAAAATTAAAATAAAATGAGATTAATAATTCACATCAAATTTCTTAGATACCTTGAGCAAGTCGGTGTTACGTGATGAATTATGACTACCGGCTAGTCTCGAACCTCGGATTCTCTCGGAACTGTCCCCTCTGCTGAGCGTGCTCTCCGATGGCACGATTCCCTTCTGCCTGAGTTGCTCCAGTATAGTCGGCTGTATCGGCTTTCTTGCGCAGTAACATTTGTTGCTTTCGGAGCAACTGTCAGTGTCGCAGGCGCAAACAACCGTGTTTCCTGGTACAGGCGTAGCCTGTACCCTTCTGGATAACGAACAGTAACACTTATCCGCTGACACGCATGTACACGACTCGGAGTCGTAGCTGCATTCGCTGCAGCTCACGTATCCGCTGCTGCTCCTGTTTGCGGTGGCACCCATGCTACGATTGAGTCGTCTACCTGCATAGTTTTTTATAATTATATATCAATAAATATAAATTATATTTTATTGTCATATATATTCTTACAATAATATTTTATTATTATTATTATGTTCTCATTGCATGTTTTCATCAGTATTTATTGGTTTATTATTATTATATTGGTTTCATATAGAAACAAGGAGGCTATCAAAGGTCTAGAGACATAATTAAAAGGTAAGATTTGAATTTTAATTATAATAATTGATAATTATATTAAATGAATTTTAATTACAATATTTCTACATACATGTATCGCTATCTTCTGAAGTCGTGTGACCTATTCCGTTCTTGCTCGTTCTCCGCGAAGATTTTCTTCTACCGAGTCTACTCGCCAGTATACGATTTCGGTGATTATTTCTGACGTCACATGACGAACTACTGCCAAAGCTATCATTCAATCTCCTAGCCGGGAATATCACGGAGGTAAACTCCGTAGGACCACCTTTCAGTCTCGAGACCGATCTCTTTATGGCCCTGCCTAATAAACAAGATCGACGGCTTGATCTTCGTCTTTGTGGTCTCCGTCGTCTCTTCATAATACTGGCCGATCTCTGATATAATTCATCTTGCGTTAAAGTTGCGGCTAGTTTCAGTAAGAACTCCTTGTAGAGCGGCTTTAGATCGTTAAACGACATACCTTCCGGATCTGAGAAATTATAAAAATTAGCTCTAAATTCTTTTCAAAATAATTATAGATCTAAATTCCATTCTTTTTATTTAATTAGATTATTAACGTACTTTACATTACAGATTATTACCTATTATGGCTGCCAAAATGTCATCTACACTAGTCAAGCCCTCCTGATTCCTGAATTCGTCAAATAATTCCGTGAATCCAAGCGGAGTACCTCCTTTGATGTTATTGGTTCTTCGAGTGCTTCCGGAAGTCAGGAAACTGCCTCTCCTAGGTAACTCAACCCTCGTCATCAGGTCTCCTCTATCTACGTCTACGTCGCTCTGCGATCTCTTCAATGCGTTCTCCTGCAGGATCCTGTTCGCGTTCTCCGAGTGGCTGACGGGTGGCTCGCTGCCTGCTCTGCTTCGTCTTCTCACCCGAGGACGATTGCACTCCGACGTACTCAACAAATAATCAGGCTCCAATGATTCTTTTCTCAACGGTTTATCCATGGTGACGGTTCGATTGATTCTTTTGCTGGAATGCGTCCTCTCCGGGTCCCTCGAGCGTCTCTGTTGGTTTATCGTACCATCCGAATGTTCGTGATGCGACTGATAGTGTCCATTATTCTTCATGTTCTTTGCGAAGAAGATGTCCTCCTGACAACATCTTGTCTGACTGTTTCTGTTGTTCTTACCCGTGTAAATGTCCTCCGTACCGAGACTGTAGATCTTATCGGGATCTTCAATTTGCGGAGTGTAAATTTTTTTTTCCTTCTTTTTGCCAACTATCTCGTAAGCAGAGTTTATCTCGTTCTTCCTTTCGATTTTATTGACTTTATCGTATATCAAAACGCTGTCAGTTCCGGAAGAATACAATTCACAATTCCTGGCATTCGCTCGATTCAAATCGTACGATCCATAATTTCTTCCATAAATGTTATCTTTCGTATCTGCTGATTCTCTCCTCAGATTATTCCGTTTGTGTAGTTTCTCGTATTTGTTCGACTGTCTCTCATAAATTCCATTCGTGTCGTCATCAGGAGCACTGTAAATTTTATCAAGCTTGCTAGATTCTATCTCGATTCTCAAGGAATTCTGATCTTTAGCGGAAAACATTTTATTCTTCGAATTTTGTAGCTCCTCGTTTCTAAACAATATGATGTCTCGATTGTTCGGTCCCAGATTGCTCTTCTCGTTCTTGGCATTGTCTCGCCTCCTTCCGCGCGCCTCAAGGATGTCTTCCGCTTTCACGTCGGAATTCTTCTTTTTCCTACGTGGTATTTTCTGCAAGCTAGGCTTCCCGCCTTCGTCCTCAGTAACGGAGCTGCTCACGGAAGTCTTCTTGGTTCTGGGTGGTCTCACAGGATGTGGTGCGGTTGGTCTCGGTGGCGGAGGTAGCATGCAACTGATCCTACTGCTGAGACTAGGCTCTCGAACGCTGGAGACAACGGAGGCCAAACTGACGCATCCGACACCATTCGTGTGACGAGGTCGTCGTCGGTTCGCGTCCAGATCGGCGAGAAGAGCGCGATATAACGTGGCCGCGGCTGCTATCGCGTCCTCCTCGCATTCACAAGCGAACGCGTGGCACTCTAAGAGCCTGGCGGCTCCAGGTCGTCGCATTACTACGGCGAAGATTGGGGGATAGAATTCCACTTCATTCTTCAAACCGCGCATTGTTCTAAGAATAGGACCAAGATTAAAAATCTACTTCAGATATTTGATCTTTAAAATATGAATATATTCTAAACATTATAATGTATTGGGTTAGAGGAAAAGTTCTACGGTTTTGTGTTAACTCAAAATTATATATATAATATCTTTGTCAAAATAAACCAAATTTAAATTTAAAAAAGGTTTTAAAGCTTGAAATCTCTGCTTTCAAAAGGTTTCTATAATTTTTTAATTTATATGAATTTGGTCATTTTTACATGTAGAAAACTACATGTTGAAAAAAGGGAATTTTTTTTCTCACTTTGTGGGTCCGTCATGTATCAAAAAAAATTGCGAAAATTTTTGACTCTCTAACGTGAAAAAAAGCTTAAAGTTTTTCCTAAAAATTTGTTTTCAAACAATGTTCCTACGATTTTTTGTTTCTGAATTATTCGCGGGTTAAGTAAAGAAACATTTTGATTTTAATTGCTCATAACTCCGTTAAAAATCATTATACCGCAATTAAAAAGTCAGATTCTTAAAACTGAAACTTTACTCTATCGAATGGTATAATCGTACAATTTTTAGTTAATAAAATACCGCAGAATTTTCCCTCCAACCCAATAATAAGCAATAAATCTTTAAGTTTCAAAGGATCAATTATAACAATACATTATGGTACATATTATTAATTATAATAATATTCACACCTGTAGAGATCGGCGTGCTTGTCTTCCATCGTTTGTCCTTGATCCTGATCGCCAACCAGAGGTAAGAAGGCGTGGTGCACATCGCCCGAAGGTATTCTCTTGCATCGAAGCCGCAACGCACTCCATACCGCTATTCTGCGGAAAGGATTGTTTTTTTCGCAGACCTCGCTCGTACGAAACGTTAGTCCGCGCCTGGAGACCTCCAGCTCGGCCCTCACGCATCCTTCTATGCGTTCCAATAGCTGACGAAGAGGTTCCTGAAGACCCCGCACGCTCGCCACGCGTCCACCGACTGGGGCAGCTCCCATGTATTTTACCTGTGTGTGAAAAAAAGTGCGAAATATTTTAATTATTCCAAAAAACATATAATTTTATTACAATAGAAAAAGAAAAGCTCAGAAAAAATAATACGGCCAACTGCATGGACATATATCCGCATTTATCATCTGAAATATGCATTTTAATTTGCTTATTGAGAATAAGAAGTTAATGAAATTTAATAAGAAGTTAATAACGTTCTTTACTAAAAAAAAAAATTTTATTTAAACTACATTTTATTCAAACTACATTGTGAGAAACTGACGTGTTCATGTATAAAAATAGCGTTTGACAAAAAGAGCGCGCATTCTTTTTGCGTGTCTGAAAGCAGCGGAAACCTGTTTTGCACGATGGGCAATATCGAAGATAAACAGGTGAAATCGTTAAACGGGAATTTTATTGCACAATTTGAACATTTTTAAACTCTAGTCTCTGAGGAATTTTTTATTGCGTCGTCGCTTATTTATTTGCTGCTGCTTCAATATTTATCCTCGAATATATATTAATAAACATTATAATTACATGGGCTGAAAAGTTTCGGAATTTTTCAATAGGTGGCGCCACTAGAAAATGAACATAGTAAAAATAGATGTAAAATGGCTGTAATTCTTCTGTAAGCCAATAAACTACATTATCTATCTACTCATTTCGAGAGGCTCATCCACATCTATCACTAGTTTATGTATGAAGTTTCATGACATTTCGTCCATTCGTTTACAAGCTACAGTTCATGGTATAAAGACAAGGGTATGCTCGTTTCAGACCACTACGCATTCCCACCACTTTGCCGTATTTTGTCCAAGCTTACGTCATACTCGTGTAGAGTTGGCACTGAACTATATATATACACTGGAATAGGCATCGAGGAAAATTCGTGGCCGTTTTGATCAGCCGCCATTTTGGTTTGGTCAGATGATTGAGCGAATCAGAAACGTTCGCGCGCGCGTTGCGATCGATGTATTGATCGATGTATAGAAATCTATATGGACATGAATGGTATATAAACAAAAATGTCACTTCATATTCAATAAAATAACTTTAATAACACTTCATATTCTACATCGTTAACACATATGCAGGAATTGATATATTTAATAAAAAATTCTTACCAATGAAATGAAATGCCCTTTTTACTTCCCTGCTTACATCCCAGGCACACAGCATTTCATGTTGATGCTTTGTATAGACACACGATTTTATAATCCTTCAAAAATAACCTCACACACGATAATCTTGCTGACATTTTGCACACAGAAATAAAGAATTTACGTCTGCTAAACAACTCTCGTAAGTGCGCATGAGCATCTGAAAGCTTCTAATTCGTTGAAGCATCTAACCAAGCCAAAATGGCGGCTGATCAAAAACGGCCACGATTTTCTATGCTTCACAACGGAGATGCCCATTCCAGTGTATATATAGTTCAGTGGTTTCTACGTGTTTTCCGACAGGCGCGCTCGGATCAGTTCTTCTATACAGCACTTTTCCGACACCACGTGTTTCGAGCCCATCTTTTTCATGGCCGACCGTTTGAGCTTGATCTCCTAAGAATCTCCTAATAAGAATTACTCCGTGCTTTATAGTCTTTATACCATGCTACAGTTGTTTTGAGTGACGCTACTTTCGGCTTCGTAAAAAAATGGAAGAACAGGAATATCGCGTCTTGATCAAACATCGTTTTTTGATGGGAAAAGCATCTGAACAATCATCGCAATGGTTGCAGAAATGTTATTCCACATCTGCTCCTTCGAGAACAACAGTTTATCGGTGGTTTAGTGAATTTGAAATGGATCGTACAAACACCGAAGAGGCTACGAATGCGGAAATCGTAAAGCAAGTGTATCGAATCGTTTTGAGTGATTGTAAAATGAAGTTGCACGAGTTAGCTGAGGTCGTAGACATCTCAAAAGAACAGGCGCGATACATTTTGCACGATATTTTGAAGATGAAAACGCTATCGGCACAATGGGTGCCGCGTTTGCTGACCGTCGACCAAAAACAGCAGCGTGTTGATTATTCAACGGCCGGTTTGGCGTTGTTGCAGCGTAATCGAGCGGACTATTTTCGATATTTTGCGACGATGAATGAAACGTGGATCCATTACCAAACGCCTGAGTTCAATAGGCAGTCTGCAGAGTGGCTGGAAAGCCACGAAAGCCGACCAAGGTGGCCAAAATACCAACGCTCGGCCGGGAAGTTTATGGTCTCCGTTTTTTGGGATGTGCATGGCATGATCTTCATCGATTTCCTGCCGAAGGGAAGAACAGTTACGGGAGAGTATTATGCAGCGTTATTGGACAAACTGAACGATGCAATAAAGAAAAAACGGCCCCATCCCGATATGATTAAGAAAAAAGTTCTGTACCATCACTATAACGTACCGTCACACACGTCCTTGAAAGCGATGGCCAAATTGGACCAATTCGAATTGGTTGCTCACCCACCGTATTGTCCAGACTTGGCCCCCAGCGACAATTATATGTTCTCAAACCTCAAGCTGTGGCTCCAGGGAAAGATATTCAGATCGATTGAGGAAGTCATCGCGAAAATCAAGGAGTATTTCGAAGGCTTGGGCGTTTCGTACTACAGAAAGGGCATCGAAATGTTGGAAAATCGCTATACCAAGTGTATCGCCCTCAAAGGCAACTATGTTGAGGAATAAATATAATAAAATTCTGTATAAAGGACTCTTGTTAATAAATAAATTTAAAAATGAATAAAGGGCATAAGAGTCAAACATTAAATCTAATCTTATATGTCAAATTTTTAAAAAAATTTATTACGAAGATAAAATAGAAGATTGATGTTCTTAACAATATAATATAATATTGACATTATTGAATAAATATAACTTTTCCCAAAAAACGCTTGTTTTCATTAAAAATCCCGGAACTTTTCAGCCCATGTAGTATATCTCGTAATGTACATAAAATTTGAATCGTCTTTACATAGGATTAAAAAATAATGTTAGATTTTGTTATAGAATTATAACATAAATATCTACAAGATGAAATTCAAGATACAAGTTATGTAGAGGGAGGTGTGATTTGGAAAAAAATAGTGTTCCTATAATATTATTATAGGAGCACTAGAAAAAAAAAATAGTTAATGTTTTTGACTGCAACAAACTGCCGTCGGGTTGTTCTGATCAAATGTCACGCCTAAACGGATCCTCTCATCGGATTCTCTGATGTAACTGTATTGATTGATCAGTAGCTTCTTTCGTGAACTCCGCTCAAAGTGTGTGAAGCGAGGCGAAACAATGCGGCGGAGCCCATAAAACGGGATATCGTGTTGGCGCGGCGATAAAGAATCCGCATACCGGCGTAACAACTGAAGGAGAATTTTTCAGCGCTCCGAATAGTTTATGGAAGTCCGTCACGCTTTGCGAATCGTGAACGGAATGAAAGTGACGATTAAAAATTCCGGATCGACGCCCCGAGGAAAGTTGGTGGACTTTTCGCGACCCTTTTCCGCGAATCAGGACACGTACGCGAAAGAATAGCAATTGTAATATTGCAACATGTTATATGCATGTTGAATGTAGATCAGATCGAATTTTTATGTATGAAAGTACTCAAGGTCTCTTGGAGAATGCATTAATTAACTGTATTCTAATTATAAGATTCTGCAACGTAATTGACTATTTATAAATCTATTGTAACATTGTATTTATACTATTATAATTTCTAAATTATAAGGCTTACTGCAAATCTATTTGTAATATGAAATATTATGAAAACGTTTTCTTCGCTTATTAAAAGTATTTTTATATCGCGCATTACAGTCTATTAAGAAACCTTAATTAAAGTGATATTATCAGTTAAATAAACGTACTAATGTATGAATTAATTAACATGTCAAAAAAATTAATTCTGCTGTGCAAGACCGATTAAACTTCAAAGGATTTGATACCATCTCTCTTTTAAGTTAGATATAAAAGATCTCGGAGATATATAATTTGCTTTCTCTCCTAATTTTTACAATTCTATCTATCTATCTGTATATATAGTATACATTGCTCTTTAAAAGATCACTGAACGATTCTTTCCTTTCTAACGAGCAACCAGCTCGCGAGTAATTATACGTCGATCTCAATTTTATTTCTGACACGGAATCATCACGATTGTTAGGGTGATTCTAAGCGAGATTCCTGAGGTGGAAAATGGATACTATCCGACGTGCTTCTTTTCACGAAGCTTTTCACCAATTTCAAGTCTGAGATCTTCGATGAAGAATCGAATGAAGAACGAAACCTGTAAGACGACTTGGATTTTTGAGATGAAATGAGAAAAGCGAATTGGCGAATAAACTATTATAATTAATTGTAATCGAGAAAGAGATGCATATATTAGAATGTATTTTTGCTCAAAGGAGAAACTAGATCCAAATGCATCTATTTTTCGTGCGTTTCTCGATTCCTATATTTTATTTTCTTCAGATTAATATTTCTTTAAGTGTTTCAACGTTTTCTTTTCGCGAAATGTTGCAGTTGCTTTAATTTCGACTCTGAAATGTAAAATTAAGCGCGCCCGCGAGGTCACGTTCACTGACGAAGTAGGTGAATCTTTCATCGCGATAACTACACGGAAAGAACGATTTTGCTGAAATATTAAAAAATGTTACTAGATACAAATTTGAAAATAATGTTGTTGGAACATTAAAATAATCTTATAGATAACTCAAGCATGATGAGAGTAATGTTATCAAAATTTTTATATTCTAGCAATTAGTTGAGCATTCAACATAATGATTTTGATAATTCGACAAAATCATTTTCTGATTTGTATCCGGCTGAAATCTTAGTAGATACTTCAGATCACTAAATTGCTTTTTCTTTGCAGAATCCCTTAGAGAGCGGAAACGAAACGATCACGTTCGGCTACGCCGATTTGCGAGACTTTTCGAATGAGAGAGGACGTGTGCAACATAATTAACATAAGTGAAAATGCAGGCGCACACGTTCCCGCTATGTATGTACGATTTAATCTCCGCGAGATTCCCGAACCTGAATCCCCCGACGATGCTCAAGCAAAAGTGGCATGCGGGCCTCTCTCGCAAATGCTCCACGTGCATAATTATTTGTGTCATTACCGGCAAGATTGCAGCGGCACATTCACCGGGCGTTCCACTTTCGGCCTCCACCGAGGCGAACATCGCCTCGATACGTGCATGGACCGCACTGTTCACCCTCTTCTGTTCCTCGTTCGCATCGTTGTGGTTGCTCGGGATCACGACCGACAATCCGGCGTACCACCCTCCCAACATCGAACTGCAGATGGATCTGTGATTTAATAGAGATTTATTAATAAGAAATAAGAAAGGGGAGTAGCGTAAGACGTCTTATGCTCTAATTGAGCAAATATATTGGGTTGCGGGGAAAGTTCTGCGGTTTTTGTTAGCTCAAAATTATACTATATACAATGTCTTTGTCAAAAATGAATGAAATTTAAATTTAAGAAAAAGATTTTCAAGCTTGAAATCTCTACTTTCAAAAGATTTTATTTAATTTTTTAATTCATGTGAATCTGATAATTTTTGTATACAGAAAACTACAAACTGAAAAAAGGGAAATTTTTCTTCTCACTTTGTGAGTCCGTCATGTACCAAAAAAGAATTTGCAAAGAATTTCAACTATAACGTGAAAGTTTAAAGTTTTCCCTAAAAATTTGTTTTTACAAAATGCTCCTGTATATGATTTTTTATTCCTGAGTTATTTGCGAATTAACTAAAAAAACATTTTGATTTTAATTATTCATAACTCCATTAAAAATCATTGTACTGCAATTAAAAACTTTGTTGTATCGAATGATATAATTTGTTAAATGTATAATATACAATTTTGAGCTAATAAAATACCGCAAAACTTTTCCTCCAATCCAGTACACGGAGAAAACAATTTTGCTGATGTATTTGAAAATTTGACTAGATTTAAAAATAATTTCGTTGAACCATTAAAATAATTATGTAGAAAACTCAAACATAAAGCTGCAAAAAAATTTGACATTCTGCACTGAAAGAAATGTCTTTGCTTTTTATGCTTCTATATAATATTCATATATAATCACATATTATCATAATTATGATTATGCCTCCGGACAAGACCCATCGGCATAATTATGATCGAACTTCACTTGGTAAGTTCGTTTGATCTATAAATTATTACTTACTGCTATAATATTAATATAACAGTTCTATCAACAAACATGTATAGTTAATATCAAAATTAACTACAATGTTTATAGTTATTATAATTAATTATTATCTTAAAAATTGAATGCAATTATTATAATTTAACTATTACATTCAGTTTTAGAATAATCATATTTTATATGCAACCATCTTAATAAGCATCCTACGTAATTATTTTGTAACACAACAAAATTATTTTCAGATTTGTATTTAGCTAATCTTTTAGATATTTCAACAAAACTGTTCTTTCCGAGTGATTAAACTTTTTATTAAAGATAAAAAACAAAAAAAATTGTAAGATTAATGTTATTTCCTTATGCGTTAAAACTGATCAAATGTAATTACAATAAAATTTATTATAATAAATTTGATTTACCTGGAGTCTTCAAATAGTGCGTCGATCTGCGCTTTGCTCCTGAGGGAACATTCCGATGGTGGTCCACCCAATCGAAATCCATCCTCGTAGTGAGATATCCCTAAAGTCGACATGTTTTATTTGAACGTTTCGCAATCCGTTCGAGATGCGTGCATTTGCAAATGGTTTTTCTATTGTGTTATCTGACGTCATTCGTTCTGAAAAGAAAATGCACTTTATTATTAACGTTGACCTCAATTAGAAGAGAATTATTATAGCTGTGGTGACATAACTGCGGACGCTATTTTTTTTTTATCGATCGTATCTATAGTATAAGAACTCCGTACGTGGTGATTATCGCTTGTTCTAACAACCTTGTGGAAGTTAGTCAAGGTTTCTCGAATGACCCGAATACGCGATACTAATGATTTCAAAGAAAAAGTTCTTAGGACCACACACACGCACAGGTCCTTCGGCTTTCATCGCATGTAGCATTCGCGGCGCTCATTACCGCAGCGACGCGACGTCGCGGTGCGTTAAATTTATGCGAGTACTAGGCGATGCGTGAATAATTAAAATCGCGCAGGACCGGGTTAACCTCGATGCTTCCACACACACGAGATATGTACGAGCAACGGTAAAAGTGATCAGAGATCGGGACAAAAGGAAAATGTGAATAATAAGCTCATGATCATCGATGCGTGACAAACGGTTGATTGCGGCTGCAGCGTTTTGAATGTGTTTGCACGTGATATCGCGATTATGTAAAAGTTACGAATGATGTACTGGTCAATGTATTAAGCGATAAAAGTTTTTTTTTATTGCATATAAATGCAAATTAAAGTACCAAAGAATACTTTACTCCTTTGCGTTGAATCGATAGCAAGGTCCCGTAAATTAGAAATTGTAAAAACTGTTATTCACGAGAATATATATATATATATATGTATATAGAAAAATTGCGTGTTTATCCCCTGCCACGGATTTCACCGGCAATTGAAATTGTACGCATTTCTTCATTAAGGTAGTATGCGCGGTGTTTTTTAATAACTCTCGAGAAAACGGTGCTGTCGTCCGAGTGCGAAGTCAGTTTCAACGAATTCACAAAATATTCATTACAGTTTTTAAAATGATTTTCTCCTTGTAGAAGAGCATAGTGATCATATTTTATTTATATCTTGTATTATCTCGCACGAAATGCTAGAGATCTGAGTTCAACTACCGGCTGAGGTAATATTTTTCGCAATAAATTTATTTACAAATTTCCAGCATATATATTAAGATTTTTTAAACAGATTCCTATTGAGTATCAAAATTTAATTGTGATATTATTTTAATAGACGCGTTTTTAAGTCCAGTAAAATTTCGGCGCTCAGTTCAAAATGATTACAAATATATATGTTATGTACGTAATGTATATACAGGATCACTTTTATTATTTAATTTTTCACGAAGTGACGACAAATGACGAACAATTTGCTTTTCTTCTGGTCATTGCAAATATAATAAATTCAACGATTATTGTTAACGTTTTACTCTCTTCTATGCAACTTATATGTAACTGAAGAAGACTACTGTTATAAGTCGAAATTGATTTCGATAATTTTAATATATCGATACATTAAATTTTATTAATTTTTATAATAACCTTTGTTTTGCTCGTCTTTGGCCTGATTTTTGTTACATTCTTCAAATTTGATACAATATACAATGTAATTAATAATATTAATTAATACATAATTAATACAATTTATAATAAATTAAATGTATTCACATTTAATAATTAAGCATAGATGAAGGACGATTATAGAGTCAAATCATAAAATGAAAATAATAAAGCGGTTATAACATTAAGTATGTAATAAAATTTTTTAAAAATACATCGAACTAACACTTAAAACTAAAACAATATGTATTTAGCCGCTTATGACATAAATTTTTTTATTAAATTTATGTCATAAGCTGCTAAATATATTGTTTTAGTTTTAAGTTTTAGTTCGATGTATTTTAAAAAAATTTTATTATTATACATACTTAATGTTATAACCGTTTTATTATTTTCATTTTATGATTTGTCTCTAATCGTCCTTCATCTATGGTTAATTATTATTTTTACATAAAGAGTCCTTTATTTTCTAATTTATTCGTTTTTTACATTTAATACACAAAAAGTTAACATTTTAGACTGCTATGCAAAAGTTTCAAATTGTAAATTTTATATTATTGAAAAGATGTACTTTTGTGATGAAAATATCAGTCGCACGTGCAAAGCTAGCTGTTGTGCGATGTCTATACGACTGCTCACAGTTAGGCTTTACAGTTATGGACCAGCTGGATGTGGCGGTCCGGTCGGTAGCCGAAAGGTGTCAATGTTGAAGACTGGGCTCTGAGATTACGCACGCAACCTGGAATAACTGTCAATGCATGCCCCTCTCGTGAATCTAAACGCGTGCTGACCTCACGTGCTGACCGTTCGCGATCGTTATACGATGGAATTTACTACTAAACAGTGTTGTAATTGCGATTGGTCACAGTTGATCGGAGCAACGGCATCGATGGTATTTAAAAAGAAAAAAAAAAAAAAGAAGAAACTGCGTTACGATAATAATTAGTAGCGGAATAATTAACAGAATGGTTAACAGGGCTTGCAACCGCATGCAACGCCTTATTTAATCGAAACGGAAGTTTTCTCTCCGCGCTCTACTCATCGCAAATAGCATCGGACATTCAATTTTCGCTTTATATGGCTTAAAATGTGCGTTGCCACTCATTATGTCGTGAGATCGCTTGTGAGGAGAGACTGCCTCCTTGCTCATCGCCTGAAGCCGACCCTAAATAATAACCGCAGGTGAGCTTCTTGATGCCGGTGACCCAGTTTTCAGTTAGCACGCTATCGTAATCACTGCAGCAGCACGAATCTACTTGATTGACGTTATTAACAGTCTATGACTGCGCATTGAGTTGGGATGACGTTTGAAAAATTAGATGAGATAATTACAAAAGCGCTGCGCGAGGATGCGAGATTCGCAGGCGAAAACATTGGCGGAATCACAGGGCGGACGGGAAAATATCGCGCAGGAAATAAAATCTTATAATCCCCATCTGCCCGGAGAGACACGTCCATCCGTTTTTCTCGAGAGCGTAGCTCCTTGTTTTCATAACTGTCGGGAGCTTTCGCGACATGTTTGAGGCAACGGTATTAAGGTCGGCGAACAGATTACGGCATCACGTGTCAGTGCGTCAGTCGTAGACGAGAGCTGGCTGATATATAAGCGCTCGACTTTGATGCGTGTGCGTCGTTCAACTTGCAATTACCAGATTCACGGTTCGTTTCCCGCCTGCATCTGCTTTAATGGATATCGAACCGGCCGATAATCACATGCGCGAGATACATCTCGGTACATCATCTCGCTCCGATCGCCAGAGGATCATTTTCTTAGCGGTTTTAAAGAGGCACGACGACGGTTCCGGGAATTTTAGAAAGAGAGAAAGAGAGAGAAACTCAGTAATTATCGAGCGCAGCTGGAGATTTCATTTATTCGGAACACGCATGTATAGCGGTTGTTGATGATAAAGTTTTAATCAAATTCTAGAATCGTGTTCCGTCACGCGTAATAATTTAATTATCGTCACAGTATTTATGTTGGAATTAAGATTTGCACATCCACGAAGTACTGTTGCGTGTCAGATACTATTTAAATATTTCGAGTGAAAATGAGATCTTTCTTTCTGTGACAAAATTTATGTCACAAAACGACATTATTGACTGATCGTCCGCATATACCTGTTCGTTCCTCGTCAATCGTCACGTGTGCTCCGAGATGCTCAACCATCCGATAGCGCTACCGCTCTTCACACAGGTCTCGATCGTTCGCACTGTCATATCACTATCAGGTACAGAAATCTATCACGAGAATTAGCGATCCTGGGTCATTTGCGAGAACACGCCACACTACGGTAAGCTTCACTCATGATCGCTCGTCGATCCATCTGCTCTGGATGATCTTCGATGTGGATCCTTCGCCTTGCATTCGGCGACCTTGGCCGCGGCGAGTCGATCTGGATGGCCGTCGACGTGAAACTGCCGGGGATGTTCCGCAGAAGAGGCCTGAGTTCCTCTAGCTAGTGAGTCGGCGCCTTCGCGCCGCGGAACGAATAGCAGGAGAGGGATGAAGATCGGCGCAGAGAGAAAGAGAGAGAGAGAGAGAGAGAGAGAGAAGCGGGAGGCCTTCTCCCGATGTGCTCTCGGCCAGCACCGGTTACTCTCTCGTTGGATATCCGGAAATCTCACTAATGATCCCGCTGATAAAATAGACTGACACGCCCACGATATTGTACTTTTACCGGATAAGACGCTTTCTTCCCTCGCCATTACGTCCTCTATTATCTAAAGAGGTGTAGCTTCGCGGAGAAATTTTCGCGCACCGCTTTAAAGAGGCGTCTATAAATTCATTCAGCTACCGTGGTTTCTGTAATTCGGAGTAATTAGATCGATGAAATTTACTGCACTGAAAAAAGTATACTAGACGTTAATAAATATTTGTTTAAATAGTATTGGGAGTACAAATTAGTTCGGTCCGTTTTCCAAAAGATAGAAAACCGCCTCCAACGACGAGTCAGATTTTCGAGATGGAATTCGAAAATTGCCTGAGAGATGGGAAAAAGTAGTAGCCAGCGATGGACGATACTTTAATTAATCTGTTCATTCATTTTGTTTTGAAATAAATGCATTTTTGAACACAAAAAACGAACCGAACTAATTTGTACACCTAATACTAATTAAACTAAATGTAAACATGTATATTGTATACAAGAACCATTAATTTGATTTCACCATTCTTTTTTATTGAATGTATAAATAATGTTTATTTACTGTAAGTAAATAGGTAAAATGTTAAGTGTACTATTGAAAAAATATGTATTGAGGTTTAATAACAGTTTTCTTCTCGGTATAATAAAAATAAACGTAACATGTAATCTTGTCAGGAATATTTCCTTCTTCGTCCATAGCGTATTCTGTTTGCAGGTTTTTTTGAATAAAAAAATACCAATATTTATCTAGTATTCTAATTAACATTTTCCTATCGCAGATTTTATTTAATTTTATCTTAATTTCTTTATTTTACTTGCATTT